CCGCGGTGAGTGGTTACCCTGATTGGTTGCACCTGCCCCACCCCAAGCACATCCTGCCCTCCCATCGTCTCTCTCGAATCTCAGTTGCGCCCACATTGTAAACTTCGATTTCGAACTCCTTCCCACTTCGATCACAACACTGCAACAGCCGCCAAAATGTCTGACAACGGCGAGATCGAGGTCGAGAACTCCGCCCTCTATGAGGTGCTCCCCAAGGATGTTGTCAAGGAGGTTGGCAATGTCAAGCTCTTCAACAAGTGGGACTACGATGTCGAGGTCCGCGACATCTCCCTGACGTACGTTTGACTCTGAAGAAGTTATTTTGAAAAACTTCACTTGTGCGCGACGGAATGCTGACGGATGGCCTACGAATAGTGACTACATTTCCCTCCGAAACCCCGTCTACGTCACCCACACTGCTGGCCGTTATGCTACAAAGCGATTCCGCAAGGCCAACTGCCCCATCATTGAGCGATTGACCAACTCTCTGATGCACCACGGCCGCAACAACGGAAAGAAGCTCATGGCTGTCCGAATTGTCGCCCACGCCTTCGAGATCGTACGTCCAACCTAAGAAGCCCACGAATGGGGAAATATCTTTTTCTTGGCCTTTACAGAGTGCTAACATCAGGGGTAGATCCACCTCATGACCGATCAGAACCCCATCCAGGTCGCTGTCGACGCCATTGTCAACTGCGGTCCCCGCGAAGACTCTACCCGAATTGGTTCCGCCGGTACCGTCCGACGACAAGCCGTTGATGTCTCTCCCCTCCGCCGAGTTAACCAGGCTATCTCTCTCCTCACCACTGGTGCTCGCGAGGCCTCTTTCCGCAACGTCAAGTCCATTGCTGAGTGCCTTGCTGAGGAGCTGATCAACGCTGCCAAGGGTTCCAGCAACTCTTACGCTATCAAGAAGAAGGACGAGTTGGAGCGTGTGGCCAAGAGCAACCGATAAAAGGTGCAACGGTGGTATCATGATTGGAAGGTTTGGCTTTGGCGCGTTCCGGCTTCTTTCCAGAATTGCATTTTGCGTTCATCGGGTCTGGGAATGCGGCTAGGGATTTTCTTAGGTGGCTCTAGATTCAATAAAAGTCGAGCTCCCTTAGAGGTGATTGAACTAAAATTCAAATGTATAAGCAAAAGCTGTCTGTGTTTATAATTATATGGTTTCCCACGTCCGGCTCAACTGACTGTCCCGCCTCTGGAGAGAAACTCAACATTGTGTCTTTCCCTTTCAGCTCGTTGTAGTGGTATGTATGTTTCACTTGTTTTGAGAAGCAGAAGGCAACTAATCTAGACGGGATATCTTCTCTGAAATTTCCAAGCGCTGAAACATACCAACATGAGGCATACCCTCTTCCCACCAGGTGCCCATCTCCTCATCTACTTCAAATCCCCATTTCTTCCAAAGCTGCACCACCTGCTTCTGCGCATGGACGCAGACGAGTCCTGACCATTGGGGAATCACCATGACATCTCCGACTGGATTGAGATGTTCGAGGCCGACTACTTTGATGTTGGGATTGAAGTATGACGGGTGAGTTTTCAACCAACTGAGCACTGTATTGACGAGCAGTCCAGAGATGCCATGTCCTCGGAACTCTTTGATCACTGCCAGTCGTCCTAGTTTTACATACGGCTCTTGGCCGTTGTGAAATGTCGTCTCTCGGTCTTTGATATATGGCTTGATTCCCGACGATTCCTTCATCTTCTTGTTTCCATTCTGGCTACCATTATCGTCTTGGAGGATCCCATTCCAGTAGTTGCCCCCTCTCTCTGGGTGTGGGTCGTGCGGAAACGGCACCAGTCTGATGGTTCCGATCGGTGTTGAGCGTGTCGAGCTCTTTCGAGGTTGTATCACATTTCCCTCTTCATCGCGAACTTCCAGCTCCTCGACCTTGTTGACGCTGGCGTAGACAACCCAGTGGCACGAACGAGGATCATCATCATCAACTTCGTTCTCGGCCGGGACATTTTGTTCCTTGACAAAGACTTGCTCGCGAACTTCCATGGTATCTAGGAAAGTCTGTGAGATCGACGATGGCTGCTCTTCGAGAGGCGCTCCGCGTTTGTATCCGTCAAGCTTGCTAGGCTCGAGGAGACTGATGAATGGTGTCCCCATTTCGAGTGTTTATATGCTGTAGCTCCGTATATTCTTTGGTATGGTTTGAAGGCAGCACTTGATCAACGTATGGCTAAATTGTAAGATCGGTGAAGGCGGGCAATATGGGAAATGTCTCTGCCGTGTGGAAAAGAAATGATATGAATGCGTCGAGATGGCAGAATGCCAACAAGATTACAGGCGCAAGAAGAAAAAAGGCGTGTGTGATGTAGGCACCTATGAATCTCTGTGGCTGTGTTCGGCTAATTTTTGAAAGTAATAATAAGAATTATTCGAACAAGAATCGAGAACTCGATCTTAATAAAGTCGGCGACGTGGTTGATAGTAGGTAATTTCAGATACACTCATCAAATATGATGTCAATCCACAGCGCGGGGGTCATAGCAAAACCAAGCTACCTACCTACGTGCGGCGATTTATGCCTGCCTGAGGAGTTTCACTGATAACATCCATGGCTGCAAAAATAAACGTGGGTTGTCGATTGATTCGAAATGAAAAACGCAACGTGCATCTGCTCGCCACTTCAGGATATCTTGAATTGTGCGAAAAGGTTTTGCAGCCAGAGAGGTCATCACCACATTCTGTTGTTTTTGGGTGGACCCCTACTTGAGCTTAACTGTGTAACACAGAGAGGATCTATTTTGACGATACAAGGCCCACATCCATGCTTGTTCCGTCAACGGCCCGCCGTCTTTCGTGAGTGTCGTTGGCTGTGAAGAAGCTTTTTCGATAATTGTAATTGGATACGTACTGGGTAGAAAGTGGCAAACAACATCACATTGGCAACAACAGGATCACCTATGATGTAATATCTGGAAACCCGAATCACCTAGGTAGGCGTGATTATTGGGAATATGTACTTCTTTGAAAAGATATCCGTTATGCGAATACCGACTTACGCTGTCGATTTAACACATGTATAGTAGGACTCTTGCAGGTTAGAGGCCTGGGCCGTCGCCAATCCCTTTCAGACGTCTCTTGCACACATGAGAATCTATGGGGGCTTTTAGACGGCTGCCTTGTCCAAATTTGACTCGAAGCTTCCGTCCTTGAATGGGACGTTGGCACTGCCGAAGTCAGTGTTTGTCAAAGCTGTACGAGCCGCAGCGGTCAAGCTCTCCCAGGCAATCAGTGGCTGCTGGCCACCTTTGTCGTTGGTAAAGATCATTTGGTGGTTGGTAGGCCAGATGGCAGTATATCCCACTAAAGGACTGTTTCCGGAGAACGTGCCAGATGTTCTCTTGTCATATCCTCCGTGTTGAGAAACTGCCATGCCAACAACTGTAGCACTTGTGCTTTCACCAGACAACCATATCACGGCGTTTTCCCAGTCGTGACGATGCCCTAGTCCGGGAGAGGGTGAATCCTTTGGCATATACCAAGAATACATAATACCGTAGCGGCCGTTGTAAGTCCCGCCTCGTACGTAAACCTGGCCCGTACTGCTACTGCAACCTCCATTAGATGAGCCACTTGTGGCTAGGCCTCCTCTAACAACCAAGTCAGCTCCAGTTCGAGGATATATAAACTTAACATACCCAGTGTTTCCGTTACTATCAACAGCAGGGAAGGGCACGCATCCGTTGAAAACCTTGAGGTAGGGCTTGTACTTCAGATAGAGTGACCCAGCTGTATTGGATGGAACAGTTTGCGGAAACCCAACGACAGCATCGTGGTTAATAACAGCACGGCGCTCGATAGGTGATGCGAGGATGCCTGAAGCCAGGGCAAAGCCCGACAGAAGTTGAGTAATGAGCACCATCTTGCTTCCGGCTGCTATCAGAAGTCAGTATTCAGTGGCAGGCATAAGAGAGTAGGCATACTGGAGGTGGGCAATGTATTAAGTATGTGGCGGTAGCTCTGGCCTGTTGATCAAAGACTAGGGGGTCAATCTTTCAGTTGGAGAACTGCCAGCTTATAAGTTGGCCGTTCTTGGACCTCCGTCTGAGATACTACGTTGAACTACAGGGCCTATAATAGCACGAGGCTGTATGAGAACATGGAATTGGCAGGTTATATAGAAATCCCCGGCCGTAGCGTGGACGTTGTGCGTTGGGCTGCCTTATTGGGAATCATGGCCGAAGGCATAGCCTTGAGAGAAGCAATGTGGGGGTTTGCTCTGATCATGAGGCAAATGGGCTATGGTGTTAGTTGTGAGTTGTTTCAGTTGGGTGCTACAGTAACTCAAGAACCGTTTGGAAGATAAGTGAGTTGACTATCCTCTGCTGCAAGTTGGAACGATTGCCCTAACACAGCATGCGAAGTCGGAAGTTTCACGGAGTGTTGTTAATATGGCGTATGTCTAAGGTGGTTGGTGTCATCGATCAGACACCCGTGGTGTAGTGGAGGATCTGATTGGGGATAGATCAACTTGACGTGGTTGTCAGGTGGGTGTTTGCCCCCGGCTGTTCTCCTCTTAAGGACATGGGTCTTTATATTAACTATTCAGTGGTCGACTGCCGATAACAGAGGAATAACCCGACGACTGCACTTAAGCGCCCCGGCATTTCCAATATGCAGCTTTTTGCATTAGGATCCAAACTCCCGCTCGCTATTACAGGTCCCATGGCATAATTGGCATTTCTTTTAGTCCCAGGAAACTCGAAGACAGTGAATCAATATAAGGCTGCATAGGCACTTGGTGTGTGAACCTGAGTCGACAGCCATAAACCAACTGTCAATGAAGAGCAAAAGCAGAACTCGCCCCTTGCTGATAGTGACGGCTCTATATATAATGTCGCTGTACAAGTGTGTCGAGCTCTGTATTACATGAGGTGTAGATGAGGGTTCTGTTATAATATACTGGTCTAGGGTAGCTCGGTATATCAAACTTGAGTACACATTTTCCCTTCCGCATATCACACATGTAATGAACACGTGCAATGAAGCTCCGATTACAATACGGAAATTCCTCGCTAGGAAGAGCAGCTTGCTTCGCTGGAGATTGGGCTGTATTGAAAAGATGTGTCTTGGCGTGATAAAGTTATTGCGAACACGTTAGTATCACACTTGAGGAGACCATTATGCTTTAAATAGGTACTATCCTCGATTTAACGTGTTTAAATAAGACGAGCAGCTTCTAGGTAAACATCCGTACTCGTCTGATTTGATTAACATTTTAGGGTATGCAGCTATGAATATTTCAGATGCTTCTGGTAGCACTAAATCTGCGATACGTCGATATCAAAGTCACGCCCCTTTGTGAACCATAAGCTACTCATGCATGATGAGGTTAACCGTGGTACTCCATACATATCAGAGTTCTGGGCCTAACTAATGCAGGGTTGATGCAAGGATGTTATAAAGCATTCTCACCACGGATCTGAGTTCCGTGGGTTGTCTCAGAATTGGAGGCTTAAATTCCAGCATGGCAGGGTAGTTTTAGTTATTCAGTCTGGATCATCAGATTCCCCTCGAAGAAGGTGAAGTATTGGTGTATTTGTACCACCGGAAATATGATTCCGTTTATGTCCGGTTAATGGTTGCTGACGGTTGGTTGACCTTTGAGGCTATCATGTAAGACAGGACATTCCTTTGATCAAAGTCGGTGGCTTGAATATCACACGATGCAGTAGCATTCTGGCTGTTTGGACAGGCAGTGTAACCCGACTAAAGCAAGGGCATCAAATCTGCACGATGATTCATGCCGATGATATACCAAGAGCCAGAGTTGGGAATGCAAATGCGAACCCTGCATATAGATGGAGTGATACATAAGGTACTAGATGGTTAGACGGTTTGGACGCGGGCCGTCGATGAGAGTGGGTTATCCTGGCACGAGCCAACTCGATAACCGGACACATTTCGCATTTCGCTGGATCTGAGCATTTATCGTATTGAAATCTGCACGGACTCGCAGAAGCTTTCAGGTTGCTGGCGATGTCGTCTCATTAATGTTACCTTGGTGGTGTGTAAGACGGCCCATGCAGTGTGAGCGAAATGGGCAAAAAGGGCTGCAGGTCTCCAGGGGAGCGGTACGTTAATGTTAATGGCTAATTCCGCCCCGTTTCTTTTCTTCGCGTCTAGAATCTCGGGTTGCATCTAATCCCCAAACTCATGGGCTGTCGATCCACAACCTCATTAACTTGCAGCACATACCGCAGACACTAGCGGAGACGGGATGGAATTGAGATTGGGCATGATCCCAGAGCTGAAAAAGCAATTATTCTTCACATCTGTTAGACAAGTACAGTACATTGAGATCCATATATGCAGTAAGAGATATGTTGGTACTGTTACAGACCTTGACTAGAGCCGGCGCATTTTGTCCCCTCCCGAGACCTGGAACGGTATCATACTAAGTTAGCCCAACTTTCTTGACTCTTTTAGCACATAACGATCCATCTCAACGTTGGTTTCATCACTTGTACCATAGCACTTTACCCTTTCAATCCAACAATAGCAACTTTCCCTTATTGTCCTCTTCTCTTCTGGCAATTCTTTGACGTTCCTTTTGCCCTTCCTGTCTTGCCTATTCCATTCGCAGCCTACGCTCGAACCAACATCCATCCATATTCATCCCGCGAAAAGGCTGAGGCCACCCCTCGATCTAGAACCCTTGCCAAAACCCGCCGCAAGCTATTTCGCGTTTGCTCAGGGGGTTTGAATTTGATTTGAGCGACCTGCCAACCAAACTGAACAGCTCACTCAGCAACAACACTCGCTTTGGATCAACTCGGCGCATTCGAACAAATATCGACTGACAACGAGCAAAACGCTCGCTACCTTGTGCCTGCGCCTGTTTAACGCCATATCATATCCTGTCGTTCTCGGAACTGCGCTGCAGGGACCAATTCCAAGGTCCATGAGCCCGCGATTGGTCGACGGGGCACACGTTTAACGACAGCTCCTGGCACTGCGCTCTGATATCTGGATTCTTGATGAGTTCAGTAGTGCAACAAAGACCAACCGCCCTACTCATAAACTCCTGACCCGACCTTCTCTCGAACTGTTAAAGCTTATACCCACCTCTCGCCGTTGCCGACCCCCAGCTGCGAAACTCCAACTACGCCAGCTCTGGCGGCTGTGAACTCTTCGATAAAGCTGCACCAGTCCCCTACGATATTCAATGCCCTGGCAGCCTCTTCCCCGCATCGCGTTCGCCGTCGCGACCTACCCTTTCCCAGCTTCGAGTCCCGCCGACCTTCCCCTCGAGATTGGCGATGAGCTCTATATTATCGAAGAGACACCAGACGGCAACTGGCTGCGCGGCTATCTCGTAGCGCCTCCCAGTCTGCTGGCTGGTCTGACTTCCGTCAAGGGCCAGACACTTGAGGCGCGTGTCTTCAGCGGAATTTTCCCACGAAGCTGTGTTGAGGTTCGCGAGATGCTAGGAGAGCCCGAAGAGGGCGACGAAAACGACGATGCAGCAAGTGATGGCCCAGTTTTGGATGGTGACATGCCTCGCGCGAGTGATAGTGCCAAGAGTGGTGTAACGAACGTTTCAGCGCGCAAGAGCCGTAAAGATGGAAATAGGTCAACAATCTCGAGCAAAGGCAGAACGCCCTTCAAGGAGCTTCCCAATGGCACTCTAGGAAGTCTATCCATACCCGTGCATAGAGATCCCAACGCTCCACGCCCTGCCGCACCCGTACCAATGCTCAAGATCGGAGACGAGACACCAACTTCGCTTTCGGAGCCCTTAATAGATGAGATCGCCTCGTGTCTTCGAGAATGGCATTCCACCAATCTCCATGAACTCCTGCTCTCCCGACAATATAGCCGACTAGATCAACTTTCTCAGCTTATCACAGGCCTCAACTTACATCGGCAACAGTTTTTGTATAACGTTCTTACTGCACACGAATACGATCTTTTACGTGAAAGGACCGTCTGGGACTTGGTTAGGGTGAATAAATTATGTGGAGGTGAAGTTATTGTGCGAGATCCTGAAGCCCGGGGAAGGGTCCTGACAGCCGACGATTGTATTGTCAAAGTCACCAAGTTGCAGTCTGTGATGAGTCTGTTGGATGAACCCCCACAGTCCCTTGTGGAATTGAATGCTCTACACCATCTCATGGTTGATATTAAGGGCTTCGCCGGTGCCTCGATTGACGAGACCTCACTGGTTTTTTACCTCGTCAGCAAACCTCAACATGGTCAGCCCACCACTCTTTCAGAAGGCTTTACAGTAAAAATCCCTGCTGGGGGCACAATCGTCAACCTGGCCAAGCATGCACAGACGAAGACTCTTTTCACAGATTTATCCTCACAAGACGTGGGCGATGTTCCTTCAGCAGAAACAGAGCTCTTCCTGGTTGTGAAAGTGTTAGCATCTCAGCAGATTATACCCTCACAGCCTCTCTCGCGCTCAGGTACCGGTCCAACGGCTCCATACTCGAGAGACCACATGAAACCGACATCTTCAGGCGGAATGAAGGCAACAAGACGGAGCCTTATGTGGGGTGGTAAGAGCTCAAGATCTGGCATTTCAAGAGGCTCACCTGTGGCGCGGATGGACGCCGTTGCCGAGCAAAATGATGAACGACTTTCAACAAGCGGCGCCGAAAGCCGAGAAGGCACTGGACCTCCAAGTACAGCAGGCTCAAAAACCGGCAGCCCCCCAGATGGAGTACAGATCGCGGATCGCACAATCGGTCTTGGCGTTCTCCGATTAAATCCAGTCATGAAGCAAGATGACGAGGTCGAACATCTTATTAATATCTGGTCGACATCTTCGAGGCATGCAGGCGAAAAGGACGCAAGTGATGATTGGGATCCGCTGGTCAAGGAATTATTGGACAGCCCTTCTGGACACTACGAAAAGTCCCGAAGGGGTGAGCGATTGCAGCTTCAGCTCAAGAGTTTTAATCACTCCGACGCTGACATCCTCATAAAATCCACTCCCACGATGCTCTCGGGCGTGGCAAAGACAAGCAAGATGGGATTCTCTGGAGCCCCCACAAGACCTCGCTCTGACATCTACTTCACCTTAACTGACGCTGCCCTGGGAAAACAGAACCTTCTGTCTCGATTTGGTGGTAGCGCAACGGCCATGCCCTCTAGTGTTCATGGAAACAACCTCCAGATAACCCTCGAGGTTAGAAAAACCTCCGGAGAGCGGATTGAGAACTGCATCTTTGCCTCCTCCAATACAGAAGCCTTGAGCACATTCAAATCGATAGCTACGGATCGAGGAGAGCCCTGGAATCAGACACTGCGTCTTGCTCTGGCCCCTAACGAGGTCCCACAAGCTCATGTTGTCATGTTTGTTTCTGATATGCCCAACCCCCCATTTGCCATTGGCCACATGCCGTTATGGGACCAGGGAGCATTCATAAGGGATGGCTTACACGGTCTGCTCCTTTATAAGATAGATGAGCATACCTCTACCGCACAACCGGGGCCGACTGGAAAGGGCGGGTATCTGTCGCTATCGTGGACCCCGCAAGGCAAAGATGACCATCCTGCGGAAGTCACTGGCCCCCTGGCTGTGCTCCGTATCGATACCTATCTCTGCAGCACAAGATTCTCACAGGACAGAGTGATCTTAGGGCTCTTGAAGTGGCGAGATCTTCAGCGAGAGGAGGTTCCAGGTGTGCTTAAACAACTCATTTTTGTGCCTGAAATCGAAGTGGTCAAGCTGCTCAGCGATGTGCTTGATGGTCTATTCGGAATCCTCGTGGAGTACTCCGGAAGTCATGAATTTGAGGATCTTGTTTTCACTGCCTTGGTCAGAGTATTAGGCATTGTACATGACCGAAGATTCAAGCTAGGCCCATTGGTTGATCAGTATGCTGAGAACCAGTTCAATTACCCCTTTGCGACTCCCTGTCTCATGCGATCTTTTACACGACTCCTTCAAAACCCAACAGAGCCCGAGACCGCCCGAAAGCTGCGTGCTACTTTCAAGGTTGTCAGGCACATCCTTAAGTTTATTACACATGCTAGAACCCAGCAGAAAGAGAAAGAAGCTGGCATTGGTATCACATCCAACACCACCGGTTTTACACGCGAGCTCCGCGCCATCTTTAAGGCTCTTGACGCGATGATGCGTAACTCTGCCCCTGCACTTGTTGGAACACAGACGCTCGCCGTCCAACACTTCCACACATGGCTACCAGAACTTGCTGGGTTGCTGACCACAGAGGAAATATTGCATATTGCCATTGACTTTATGGACTCGTGCACGGATGTCAGGGGCAAACTTGTTCTGTATAAGCTTGTCCTGATTATCAATTATGGCAAACTGGACTTATTTGCCCACCCGGACCAAAAATTAGCCCTCAGCACCAACACTGTTCGATGGATCACTCCTCACTGGGGTCATTCTGAAGAGGTGACCGACCAATGGAGAGACCAGATTCGTCTATGCTGTTCTATATTGGCGAGCCAGATCGACTATCTCGGCTCAGAAATCCCGGACCACATTCCGAAAATAATCGATTCTTACCTGGCGGTTCTTGCTGCTCCCCGCAAGCCAAAAGACCGCCTCTCTCTTCTTTTCCCGTCGTCCTACCCTTTCCCTACTAAACCTGTTAATGAAGACCTTCAGTTCGATGAAGCCTTGGTCGAGCTTTCTGCTATTTTGTCCGCAATATCTAATTCACCCTCAGGCATGCAACTGGAGCTTGCCGAGGACGACTTGACTACTCTATTAGAGAATCTTCTTAGGGTACACATGAGCATACTGAAGGGGGAAGCATATCCCTTAGGCTGGTTGAGTGTACACATTCATCATCACAAATCGACTATGCGAACACTTGAGTATCTCGCTGGTACAATGCTAGAAGCTTTCCTTCCCGACCCAGAGGAAGCAGAGAGTTTTAATACTGAGCTATGGAAGCTCTTCTTTACCACACTCCTTAAACTCGTGGGCAGTACGTCTCTCGCGTTAGAGACGTTCCCGGAGCAGAAGCGAAGAGCAGTGTGGAAGATTGCGGGGGATGTTCGAGAGCATGGTGCTGAGCTCCTTCGCCGCACTTGGGAGGCGATCGGTTGGGAAACTACCCCCGATGAACGAAGCCGATACAATCTCTCAAAGATGGGAGGGTACCAAGTTCAATATGTCCCGGCACTTGTTGGTCCTATCGTCGAGTTGTGCCTCAGCGTGCATGAAGGTCTTCGAAGAATGGCAGTCGAAGTGCTGCAGACTATGATTGTCAGCGAATGGACACTGAGCGAGGATCTATCCATCATTCAGACAGAGACGATCGATCGATTGGATCTGTTCTTCAAGGAGAAACCTTTGACTGAGAGCATCCTCCAGAAACTGTTCATATCCGAGCTGCTTGAACGTTTTGAGCCTCTAGCAGAAATTCCCGACGAACCGTTGTATACAGCTCTACGTGAGTTCGTTGGAACCATAGATGAGTTTCTCGACCTCCTAGTTGCAGTACACAGCAGTGAAGATCCTGGCGAAGCAACACATCTCATTAATCGTTTGCGGCTCATGGAATTCCTTCGCGATATGCAAAAGGAGGAGATCTTTGTTCGCTATGTGCACCAGCTTGCAGACCTGCAAGCCGAATCGCGGAACCATACAGAAGCTGGTTTGGCCCTACGGCTGCATGCTGATCTGTATGAGTGGGATCCGGCTAGCCAGACGCCTGCTCTGCCTGACCCGGAATTTCCGGCACAGTCTCAGTTTGAGCGAAAAGAGAGACTCTACTTCGACATGATCAAATACTTTGAAGAGGGAGAGTCATGGAGCCATGCTTTGGCAGCATATAAAGAATTACAAACGCAGTACGAGACCAACATCTTCGATTTCTCCAAACTGGCCAGGACTGAACGAGCAATCGCAACGATATATGAGACCATCTCCAAAAGTGACAAACTCGTTCCTAAATATTTCAAGGTTGTCTACAAGGGGCTTGGATTCCATGCTAACCTCAGAGACAAGGAGTATATATATGAGGGATCTCCAAGCGAACGCGCTTCCGCTTTTACAGACCGGATGCAAGAGCAGTATCCAGCTGCTCAAATTGTCACTGGGGGCGATGTTGAAGATGTTGAAGGCCAGTTCCTGGTTATCTCAGCTGTCACTCCTCATCGGGACCTCAGCCATCAAGTTTTCCAGCGCGCACGGGTGCCACAAGTAATTCGGGATTTTCTTTTATCCTCTCATCCTCAGACATTTTCTATCTCCACACGACGCAATACAAATGGCCCCGTCAAGGAGCACTCTGCGGAGAAACTGGTCTTCACAACTGCTGATGCTTTCCCTACAATACTTCGTCGCAGCGAAGTGGTTGACACGCAAGAAGTCAGGCTGGGCGCCCATGAGACAGCCTTGGAGCGGATTGTCCGCAAAACCCAAGAGATGACTGCCCTTGAGCATCGAGTAGCTGATGGTAACGGGGATCATGCTCAACTTCTTCTCGACGCAGTCAGCGTTTCTGTCAACCCAACTTCCGAAAGTAGTGTAGCCTGTTACCGCAAATTGCTACCAGAACCCAAAGAAGTTAACGATGGTGCTGAAGATGATGAAGACCAGGAAGCGCCAGAGGCAGAGCTGACACCCCAAGACAGCGCTATCAAGATGGCACTTGTGGACCATGCTATCATGATCAAGAGGTGCCTTGCCATGTTCGCCCGAAGTCCCAATGAGATTCTCAACAGTAGACATGAGGAGCTTCATAAGTGTAAGTTAGCCTTTAACCACAGGCTGGTCCAGTCAACTAACTCCTTATAGTCTTTGAGAGTACATTTGCGTCGGAAATCGCACACTTCACGCCTCCTCAGCCCCAACGCGAAACGGTTACGACACCTTCTCCTACTTGGAGACGATCGTCTCGTTCTTCTGAAGCTAGCCCCAAACATAAGAATATTGGGGTTTCGGTGAACGGCGTTACCACAGAGGAAGCGTCAGTCATTAGGCCCGTCTCAAAACGAGGCACACGACTCAGTTTCCTTGGTGGCAGCAAGAAGAAGGAACCCGAATTGCCAACTGAGCCTGAAGAGTCTGCTGTTGATATTGAAACAGCGAGCAACCTGAGCCGTTCTTTGAGTCGAAGTCAGAGCAAAGAACACAACCGTCGGCATAGTTTTTTCCGCACTCAATCCCATGACGAGAAGCATCCTGAGTCTCCAGGAGGGTTTAGCAGCCGAGGGAGTTTCGACCAGCAATTCGGTGGCGGCAACGAAAAGGCTGTCGAGAACAAGATCCCTAGCAAGAAGGGCAGTGTCCGCAAGAGATTCAGCATGCTCAAGCTTGGCCGCAAGGGCAGTAAAGGCAATGGCATGATGGGAAGTCTGGACGAGGAGTAGGACTACTTCGGGCTTATTTCGGCCGCTACAACGTAGGGTTCGACGATAAGGCATCCCGGCACTGAGGGACAGGACTCTCTCAACACTAATATGAGACGGTGGAAACATGAACGGACTGACCTATAGAGGTCCCCTTTATACCCTTCCTTTGTATTTCTGATTCTTTTATGAATATTCTACCCGAAAAGGGAGAGGGAAAGAAGATGTGTATTCGCAACTAGAGCACCCATGGTTGGATCACCTTGGGGACGGAGACGACTTGTGAACCAGGGAGAAAGAATGGATATACAATGTGCTGATACCTCACTGCCCTTCTGACTACAAGGAGAGACGGGCTCTTTTCTTTTTTATATTTTGTTATCTTCTGGTGTTTCCCTCACTGATGTTGCCTGCTTCGCCACAAAAAGACCTCTTCGCATTCATTTGTTTCTTTACTTTTTCGCAGACTATTTCCGTCATGTAAGCTTGGTGTTATGGATACCTAGGATATTATTTATGCTTAGTTATGGCAGGCCATAGGGGACTGTGTGCGTTTGCATGTTTGCAGCACACTTGTACAATTTACGTCTAGAGCCTGTGTGGCCTCAAGACTCGATAATTCATTCTATTGCGTCTTGTGTGAATAGCGTCACTATCACGGGTACTATGCGTTCACATAGGACCTCCACGCAGACCACGTTATATGGACACTGATCATAACAGGTGTAAAATGCAATTACCAATTTTGTTGGGACTGCGGCTCGAAATGGGGCCGCCCACATGTTTGCCTTAGTCTATTTGCTCGGTATCAAATTGAGTAGTGCCAATGAGTCTGTATCAAGTAGCTGAAAAATGCAGCAAGATACAGGGACACTACTCAATTTACTCAGCTTTTGCGGTAGGCCGCAGTTTTCTTTCAAGCTAGATACAGGCGTACTACCTATGCAGTGCTGATTCTTGTGTATTACAGGTTCAAGATGTGGGTATGAGTTCTGCTGGGAATGCGGCGCCGACCATCAGGCTATCATGAGAGGCGATAACAGCCTGCATAAGAAGACATGCCCTTTTCATCCTCAAAACCAGAGGAGTGGATAATATATTGGGATAGGCTTTGGAAGGATGGTTGAGATGAGAGGTTTGTTGGATGGGTTGGGAGCCATGACATCCCCAGGAATATGTACTTAAGCTTTGTCCTTTAAGGAGCCTCGACTATGTATAACGTAGAGTCAGCTTGGTTATTCATCTTGAGACTTGGCACAGCTTGTATATGTCAGTATATTACAAACATGCAGGACACCATCAACTGTTCGGCGAAGAAGCTGTTTCGATTATTGCCTGTGGTATAATACCACACCAAGTAAACATTTTACGCCAATGTCTAAGTACCTTCAAGAAAAAAACACTTGTATCTGTGCAAAGATTCAGCCACGGGCATTCGTTAATATTTCCCCTAAATCCATAATATAGGCTGCGCCGCCTAAGCAGCCGTCAACTCGGCGATGCGGCGCTCCAGTTCGGGGACCTGGCGCAACCGAACCTCCAGCTCTTCCTTCTCATCCTCAAGTTTAAGACGTCGATCGGCATCAAGCTTGGTGAAAACATAATTGCCCTGGCCATCAAACTGAAGGATGTGAGAGTGATACTTCCACAAACTTCGGCGGTGACTGACAGTCATGAGAGTGACGCCTAGGGCCTTTGCTGTATCATACATGGCCTTCTCTGTCTCAAGGGTAACGCTGCTGGTACACTCGTCAAGGATAGCGTACTTAGGGCGATGATAGAAGAGCCGAGCCATGGCAACACGCTGTTGGAGACCTCCAGAAAGAACATCGCGCCACTCAGCCTCAGCGTCCCAACCTTCCTCGTATAACTCGGGTAGGTGCTCAAGACCAAGGATCTTGAGATACTCGAGAAGGTCTGCGTCCGTCACACCACGAGCACGCATCTGGCGAAGAGAATCCGGGTAAATTATTTGTTGGCGAAGGGAGCCGCGGGAAAGGTAAGGCCGTTGGGGTATGTAGAAAATGGCGTGGAAAGGGGGTTTGTAGACTGTGCCTCCATAAACAGGCCAGAGACCGCCGAGAATGCGGAAAAGAGACGATTTTCCGCAGCCGTTAGGCCCAACAACAAGCAAGTGGTCTCCGTGTTTAAGAGTGAAAGACAAAGCTTTGATGAGGACGTCACCGTTAGGTGAGATAATGGGTCTATTTGTGGGAATGGGTTAGCATAGGGACAAAGGACAGTGATCTCCAACTTACACATCAATAAAAGTGATATCGTTACTCTCGTGGACAGTCCCACGCCCCTTGAGAACAGCCTCGTTACCTTCAACGCCCGAAGAGGAGACGAGCTTCTTCTCAAAGTGACCAGCCTGGACATCATCCATCACATCCAGTAGAGTAGCAACACGAGACGTGTAGCCTGCCAGTTCCATAACCTCTCTATATGAGAACATGATACGGCCAAATGCGTCGGATGCAGAGAGAAGCATCCGTCTATTAGTGACAAAGGCTTCTGTTCGATCGCCCATATTCATCGCGATGTGACCAGGCATCTTGACAAAGACGGGAACACTGCAGAGCATCAGGCCAAGCGCGCCCCAGAAATATTTAATGACAAAATCTTCCATAAATCCGTGGTAAAAGCGTCGACGGAGGATGTAGTTGACGTGCTTGATGAGAGTAAAGTAGCCCTTATCTAAAGTGTCCTTTTCAGCGTTGTGGCCCCCGTATAAAGCGACTTCTTCGCTGTAATCGATAAGGCGTGAGTGCTGGAAGCGGAATTCGCCCTCCAACCTTGCTTCATCTGCAACATATTTACCAAACGGCGGAGTTAGTGCTCTCATCACGTTGGCTGATAATTGCACAAGGAGTGACATGAAGACAACGCCTTCACCTCCAACGCTCTTTGACAAGGACCAGGTATATATTGTCTGAATGATGTTAGCGACTTTGTTGCCAAGTGCAAACAATTCAACATACCATGTCGAGTAGAGGTTTGGCTAGATTACTGTATAATTCGGCCAGACTATTGGAGAACTTTGATACATCGACCGCAATCAGTTGATCTGGATTCTTTATTCTGTCATCCAAAGCCGAAATACCGTAGAAGGTTAGATTGGATAAGTATTTGTCATGTATATGCTGCGTAAGCCGCGATCGATATTTAAGCGATAGTTCAGCTTGATGATACGATAGCTAAAGCAGTTGTGAGCAAGCAACGAATATCGGGGAAATCAGACTTACCATGGAGTTGGTGAAGGTCGCAGGGACCGCGATGAGCATCCACCATACTATGCGCTTCAGGAACTCCTTTCCGTTTCCTTTCACGAGAGCCTTTACAATAGCACCATCCATCTCGGCGACGCGTAGACTAATTAAAGTCCTGAGAACCAAGAAGAAGCTGTGGCTCATCAGTAACCTCGACTCTTTGCTGCGCCATCCTGGAACAACAATCTTGAGTAGCCGAAGCAATGACCGAAAGAACTCGCGATTCAGCTCGACTTTCTTTCGGGGTGTTTCCTCGCTTCCACTGGATGTAGTACCACGACGAGCTGCGCGCTGGGCAGATTCACGGGCGGAGGCTGCCTTTTGCTCGGAGATGGCAAGTCGAATTCGATTAGCGAGAGCAGCGAACAGAGTGATCCATACAGCGCGTGAGATACGTGTGCGATTGGAAACGTAAAGAGTTGTGAGTTGCGAGATGATACCCCGGAGGGTGCGATCGCCAGGCAAGGCGAGCTTCGATTGCGATGCCATAACGCGCGCGCAGACCCAGAGACTCTGTAGACTAAGTTGATAATGGTTATGGTATTACTGAGTGATCCCTAGCGATGATTCTGTAGTCACTTGAAGTCGAAACGTAGTCGAGATTGGGGTTGAGCCGAGGCGTATCGACGTCACATCACGGATCTATTCAAAGCAGCTAAGCGCATAGGAAATCGGAAGTCGAATGGTACCCAAAAAAATGAAGAATAAAAAACGAGTACTGGTTCAACCAACGGTCTTAGGATCAAGACCCAAAGAAAGGGAGAAAGAATTCAAAGTGTTGAAGGGAGTAAGATTCTTGCGCTACATGACCAAGGACGTCTTGTGAGCTCCAAGATATCAATGGCAGTTTCCCCATACAGAAGCTTCCTCGGTCGATGAATCTGGGGCGTGTAAGCCTCCCCACATTTTTGTACTGCGCTCGGCATGTGATTGACATTTGACTCAACAGCCACAGATTGAGCACAGCCACGTTTAATGAACTTTCCGTGGGATGACTAAAATTTCGATCGCATCGCGGGGCACCTTTTCTGAACATTTTGGATTAACACAGCATCACCGAAGTCTTTCTTATTACGACCATATTAGCCATCAAACTAGCAGCCACAATGTCCGACGACGAGGGTATTTCTATCTACGATGAAGTCGAGATCGAGGATATGACTTTTGACGAGGCTATGGGAGTTTACCAGTTCCCATGTCCTTGTGGCGACAAGTTCCAAATTACACTCGAGGATTTGCTGGACGAGCAGGATATTGCCGTGTGTCCTAGTTGCAGTCTCATGATTCGGGTTATTTTTGATCTGGTACATCCATCTTTCGACAAATCTTTGCTTGTAGTTTTCTGTTAACAAGTTCAGGATGACCTACCAAAGCCTCCCACTTCAGGCACCTCGGGCGGACAGGTTCTCCTAGCCGCTTGAGTGAAGCAAGAATGGCGATAGGAATCATACATATTGCGACTCCCCATGCAAATAGGCCCGGCACGACAGTCGCCTTTCCGCCGTGAGCACGACACCCTCTGAGGAGCTTGAGACTTCTGTCCAACTCGGTACCGGTAAATCGGCCACAAACTTCCGGAATCCTTGAAAATCCCATTTTCGCAACGTCCTCAGCCCAATGCGAGCAGCAACCCCTTCCCCGGTAGGACAAGAGTGGCCCCAGGGTATCTGGAAGCCTGGCTCACTCCATGTACTCTGTCTAAGGGGTTGCGAAAAACATGAGAGTCGCTAGCACGAAAACCCACCCATGTGTCACCAAACCGATTGTCGTGCTTTTTTGCAACCCTGGGGGTCTGTGTCGCCGCCACAATTAGCCAACCTACCAGGGCGACGGGCAGGGAAGAAGCGATTGAGGCCCCAGCAAGATAAGAGTACAACACAAACGTGATGTCGGAAATAAATTCGCCGCCACTCCGCTGGTTCAGGGTTACTGCCAAACTTCCAAAGAAAAGCAGGGCCATGAGAGGTCCAAGAAGGCCGGGTAATAAGAGAAAAACATTTCACGAAAAGACATCAGACAATGGTGGTGATATGCGATTAGTATTAATATAGCTGGAGGTGATTCCGCTCCATTGGTCTATCTATTGTAGTCAGGACAAACCGTTCCCGATCTATCTCCATCGAAAGTTATACGCGCACCAGCACGGTTCCTCCAGGACTATGCATCAGAAAGCAGCATGTCCTCATATCCACCAAACCCTGTACAAGTTCCGAATGTCAAAATTTACAGGGCAAGGGCAACGGCGAGAGCACCAGCGAGACCGCTGAGGCCGAGGGCAGCAGCACCGTTGGCGGGGGTGGAGCCGGAACCGGAGCCGGAGCCAGAGCCAGAACCGGGCTTAGTACCGTTGGTAGCTGTTAACGTTTATGTTAGTTGTGAACTGTCGTGAACAGAGGATCGTGAGAAAGGGTTGGAACTAACGGGCACCGGGAGTAGCGACGGGAGTAGCAACGGGAGCCACAGGGGTCTGGGCAGCAGCCGCAACAGCGACGAAAGCGAGGACGGCAGCGGAAGCGTGCATTTTGATGGTGGTTTTAGGTTGTTTGGTTGTTGGAAGAGTTCGAAGAGAATTAGATCGGATTTAAACGAGTGTTGGTGTAGCGATTGTAGTAGTTGTAGTAGTTGTTGAGTGGATGCTGAGGATAAGAAATTGACTGAATGAACTGAGGAGCTTCGACTCCTATATACCTGAGAGCCTCGCAAGGATTGAGAGGAGAGTCAACGGTGCAGTACATACATGATACATGATACCAGCCCCAGGGGGCGGTTGCATCATCCCAACCCCAAGCCACCCACTTCTTTTGGTGTCTTCGAGTTCCACCGTTGTACTATACATGACTCCACCGCCAGGATATTTCGATATTATCACCCAATACCAGATGCCAGGGCCTCAACGAGGAAGTTGATCCGGTGCGTCAGTTACAGAGCTGAGAGGATCCACACAGACTTTCGTTTTCTCTGTCTGAAAATCCAGGCACAGTGTCAACGCAATCTACAGTGTCAGTTGAGGTTGAATTAAAACAAGGCTCTCCGTTGAGTCATGCTGGACAACACTGGTTGACTGCGGTGCAAGATTGAGGCGGCTGTACAGTGAGTAATTCGATAATCCAGCAAAAAATAGATAGACCCAGCCTCACGCCAACCGTTCCGCTGATGCTAATGCTTATGCACGACGGTATATTGTTGCTAGATCAACCAACCAAGATCTGATACTACCAGCAGCCATATGCAAGACGACAAGATATTGGCTTGATGGATGCACACCACGGGAGAGACAGCCAACTAAGCATAAAAGCACTGTAGAAGGTTCAGGTCCAGCGTAGCCAGCCAAAGCCAACCTCCAAAGATTCAGGGAAACAGGAACAGTACTCAAGATGATCAGCCGTGCAGTTCCATAGACCTCCACAGTTTCACTGGGCAACAAGAGACTTGCGTCATAAACGCAACCAAGTTTTTATGATGTATACTGCACTGTACCAGTATCTGACTGAACCTTTGAGAATCAAGGAACAATCATGAATGGTCGCTGTTGGGCGTGGGTTAGTTTGTTTGGGGTTGGTGGAGGCGGATTGCGCAAGCTTTCCAGACCAAGGCGAATAGGAAGAAAAAAAAAACCTCGATTGGACTGCCAGAGAATGTTTCTAAAAACAACCACAAGATAACTGGAGACGGGTTGCGCAACAACACCAACCAGCTCACTGTTGATAATTACTGAAAAGTACAAGGAATCCGCGCGAATAGCGGCTGCCAGTTCCCTATTTCCCCTTCTCCCGCAGTTGCAGATGAGACCTTCAGATCCCTGTGCCCTGTTAGCCTGTGCCCTGAAATCTTGTAGGCGTGGCTGGACCAAGTGCTAGGATTGTATTTTGCGGCTCGGACTAATAATCTGTAGATCTGTGTTGGATTTTTTAATTGTGGTTCTGACGCGCAAGCAGAATCAAACAGCCCAGACCAGGCTGCGGCCTTAACAGCAACCACAAAGCCACCAGTCAAGGGGAAAAGGAGAGGGAGAGGGAACAAACAGGAATGATCGTCCAGCCACTCTCATTCTATTATCGTTTCCTGTCACGCATTGCATTAAAACGAAACAGCGCGGACATTCCGAACAAGCTCCATCATGATCGATTGCCTCGAACTTTGTCGTTCACTTAGACCAGAGAACCCCCAGCAAAACAGCAAATATGAATGGCCTGTGCTGCTATAGTGGTTCCATAGAAAATCAAGCTCCCTGCCCCTGCCGGCTTCTTGCTAGCTTGCCCCCGGCACTCTGGCCTTGTCTGGCTCCCGTCCTCTACCGCTTCCGTCGCCTGCATCGCTCCCACACCGCGCACGACGCGCAATTGATGGTACCCCATCAGTGAATGTACATATCCATAATTCCATATTTTAATCTGAATCAACGGTTGGAGAGGAGTGTCCAGGTACGGAGTATAGTGATGATGACTAGGTCCGTCCCTTGAACTTGAATACTTGTACTCCGTATGCCCCCTTCAATCTTTGTCTCCTTTAGCCGACCCGTAAAACTCCATATTTTTGCATGAACAAGCTTTCGGGGCCCCTTTTGTTTATTATTCTCGATAACATTCATCATCCATACATATGGTCCCAGGGGTTTGTTACAGGCCAAATGGGGATGCAGCCGGAAATACTCAACATGAAATTAATAATTGTCCCCTGCCTTGTTCATGTAGTGCTCGGAGAAAAAAGCCAAAGGTAGAAGCTCAATCAAACTGTCTGTTTCGATGTGAGTAAACTCCTATTGAAATTTTGAATGCCGTTGAAATGATGCTATCGACTACCACTCAACCTTGTTCTGTCATGTTCTGGAATAATCACTATTTTGCAACTTGGCCATAAGTATCGGAATTATCACAATCACCGCATGACCACTCTGTATTCCGTACCTATTTTCAGATCTCGTCACTGTCACTGCCACTTTTTTGGCTTATTGTGTAGTGGCAAAGCACTACGTACGTGATGTCAGCGCAAGCGTATGCCTGTACCGAGTCCTATGGACAAGAATAGCCTACCGAAGAATCCGGATTACTGTATCGAGTTCGTGGTATCGAGCATGGAGGCGAGTCAAGGTCAAGAGGCCCGGAGGGAGGCCTAAATGGGGTTCATCAGGCTCAACCCAGATCAAAATCCAAATCACGGCAATCATGCTAGGCATAACAAAACAAGCCCATCTCTAGTATAGCTGATCGGCATCTTTTCCAATTTTAACTCAAACCACAGATCTATCGATCCACACAGAATACACACATCTATGCAGGAACACGTAACCTCGACCGATGAGTTTGCATGCATTGCCGTGTGATACAGTCTATTTTGGCAACAAGCAAGATCGTCTACTTTTCTTAGCTCTTACATTCAAGCCTCGACATTTTCAAAATAGAATGTTGGCTGTCCAGGGACTGCATGCTCGGCTGTAGGCACTGAAAGCTCAACCTCCTTACCATCTCCGAGGTTGGTTCCCTTCTTGCTGCCCTCTTCGACTGAGATGATGTGACAAGCAACCAGGCCGCTAGTTCGCTTCAATCCAGGAACCATCTGCAGGAGAGTCTCTTTCTCGTTGAATGCCAGCTTCTGCTCCAGAACCACGCTCGCTGGTTCACCGGCCTGAAGTCGTCTTTTGAGGTTCTGCACAAATGGCATAGCCTTCTTCATTTCGCCCATCTTGCCAATCTTGCCATTGAGCTCCTTATCGTTGACTGTCTTGGCCTCCACGTTCCACATCTCCTTCAAGAGATCAATGTATTTCGCTTGCCAAGCTGGAAATTTGTCCGTGACAAAGATTGTGAGTTGCTTAGGCTTCTTGGGGTCGAAAGATGTCTCCTTGCCCTTGGCCTTCTTCTTCAGTTGCAGACCCTCCGCAGAGTTGACGTTGGAAGCAGTGTTTCGTACATAGTCACGCTTCGCCGACAGGGAAGCATCGACCTCCTTGATATCGGGGAATCGAGCATTATGAATAGTGCCCTTATTCTTCAGCACCTCAAGCCAAATGTACTCAGACCAGTGAGGAGCAACGACCGCCAGCAACAGAGCCTGTACCTCGATATACCGGAGGGCAAGATCGCGGTGCAGTTTTATGCCAGCTGCTGCGCAGGCCTCCCGATAGAAATCGCGAGCACTCGTCAACTCATATAGACCAGCCTTCAAGGCCAGCTTGTAGTTGGTGTTGGCATACTGCTCAACGGCCTCCTTGATAACCGCGTTCATGTCGTTGTTGAACAAAGCGTCCTGGAACGAATTCAATTCGCCAGTTCGAAGCTGATCCTGATCCCGAACGATGTCCTCACACCACTCTTTGAGAGTATACAATCGGAGAATGTTCGTATCGGCAACATCCTCCTCGAAATTGGCGTCGTTTACACCGTCACCGGCATCTGCAAGAGCAATACGAGAAGCATCCGCACCATATTTCTCTGTCAAGTCTCGGAGAGTCATGAAATTACCGGTGCTCTTACTCATCTTCTCGCCATTCAGCATCAGATGACCGTTTGCACGAATAGCTTGCGGCCAGTACTCGCGAGAGAATAGGGCAAGATGGTTGTAAGTCATAAACGTCAGATGATTATTTATGAGGTCCTATAGAGCACGAAGATTAGTCTCACTTCATCTCAATGTAGGCGCTTTCGTTTCACTCACTTTGCCCGATACTCGCACGTCGAGAGGATAGAAGTACTCAAATTCGCGGCGCATCTTCTCTAGAGTTTCTTTGGGAATCTTGCTGTCTGTGACGATCTCGTCACTTAAATCACGGCGGCTGAAGATATAGTCCCAGACTTCATCGATCATCTGTTCGGGTTCGACATTTGCGCTTCCCTTCGTCTTGCCGAAAATATCTTTATGCAAGAGATGTGCGATAGTGTAGTAGGCCATGTAGACGGTCGAATCACTCAGACTCTCGACAAGGAATTGAGGATCCCAAGGCAGCTTCGAGCCAAGACCGAAGGACCGAGCACAAGCCCACTGGTTCAGCCAGTTCAGAACGCCTTCAAAGCTGTTCTTGACCTCAGGTGTGTAAGTGTTGAGACCATTGTCCACATAGTCAAGGGCGGTCTTCTTCCACGATTCCTCACCATAGTCCAGGTACCACTGATCCATAAGAGAAACGATACATTCATCCGCTGACCGGCTGACCACCTTGCGCTCAGGTTCAGAGTAGGCGAATGCCTGACCAGCATCTATCATCTGCTGTCGGACCTTGGGCTTGGCAACCTCGACCTTCTCGCCCTTGAACTCACCTACTTTCAGAACACCCTGGTAGAAGCCCTCCTTGTAAGCAAGCTCCTTGGCCTCTTCGAGCTGCTTTGTATCCTTGGGGGAGGCGATCTTGAGTTTCTTGACTAGAAAAGGGGCGCAGAGGTCACCGTAAGTGGGCGTCTCAATAATGGGGAAGATCTCGAGCTCGGCCCATTCCTTCTGAATCCCATAATAATCAGCCTTCTTAGCGAGGTCGGTCACAGTAGCAAAGTCATCGGGACTGTCAGAAGGCACGGAAGTGACAACTCCAGTGCCCTTTGTAGGGAGAACAGTCTCCATAGGCAAGACACGGACTCCCTCCTTGTGTAGAGAGAGAGGAGCATCAACAAGAGTGCCAACCATGTCGGAACCAATGATTTCAGCAGCCTTCGCAATGACGCCCTCCTTCGCAAAGATACCCTGGTACGCCATGTTCCTTGCTGCGCGCTCCGTCATACAGTAGTAGTCAGTCTCATTAACTTTGAAGATCCCGTAGGTAATCTTAGGGCCAACGAAGCAGCAAGTCTGACCATACATAGTCTCAGGTCTTAGAGTGGCCGCGATTTGGTAAACATTGGCACCATCCGGGAGCTTACCCTTCAAGGTCTCGGCAGCTTTGGGCGCCCATTCGAGAACCTTAATCTTCAGGGCAGTGTATTCCTGGGGTCCAACACCCTCACCTTCAGCTCGATCGTGGTCCATGCACGGCTGGCCGTCCTTAATGGAGTAGATGGTGTATCGCTTGCCGAATTTGATCTTGTTCAGCGCCTTGAGACTGTTCATCTGCCATCGAACGAAAGCGTCGTAGTAAGGGTTGGCATCTGTGGTGACAAACGATCGGCGCCAGTCGATACGGCAACCAAAGTTGGTCAGGTCTTCCCTGCATAGAGGAGGAAAGTATTGGAGCCAGTGTTGAGGATCGGCAAACTTGTGAATCTCCTCTGTAGGTATGCCAATAGCTTGCATGATCTGAAATTGGTACCTGTCGAAGCACGTTAATACTACGGCAAGAATGTTCAAGATGGAGATTGCAATTACTTCATTTTGACAGCCTTTGCTGCAGCCTTGCCTTTTGTAGCCTTGAACTTCGTGATGTCCTCCTTGGTTTGTTTGGCAGCCGGAGTCTTCTCTTCGACGACAGGTTCATCATCTTTGTAGCCCCCAAAGTCTTGACCGAACATCTTAACTTCGTTGACGAGCTTGTCGGCACAAGCCTTGATGGGCATACCAGTGCAGTGGAAGCCCATGGGGAAGAGGGTTCGTTTTCCCTGCATGCGTGCAACACCCGCGGCGAATTCAACCTTGCTGACGGAGAAAGAGTGACCAGCGTGAAGAGTTCCGTTCATGTAAGGGTAGGCCATGGTTCCAAAGAATTTGGGCTGCTGCTCCCGAAGTTCGGCGGCGGGAATGGAGTGGAGGGGCACCTCATCCGTGGTGGGAGCATTGGCTTCAAAGACTTTCTCGTCCTGCCATTTCTGTTGATATTTCTTCTCGAGTGCGATCAAAGTGTCTCGCTTCTCAGTCTGGTCATAGTTAGAGTGGCCACTTGAAAACGGGGGAGGAAGTTGGACCTGCACCTTTGAGCTCCTTGGTCTTGGAGATGTTGAGAGCCTCCATAGCCTTGGGAACAGAATCGGTAGAAGCCATGGTCGCAAATGGACGAGACCTGGAAATAAAGAGAAATTGTTGTCAGTTTCCCCCCGATAGTATGTTTAAATAGGAAGGCTGAGTGAATAATACGCACTTCTAAATTCCGTGGAAATTTTTGAGTCACTGTTTGGAAGGGATTGAATCGGACTTGAGGAGGAGGGGTGAAAATCGCGGGGCACACTCGCACAGCAGTGCGTCAATGTGGCTAGTGGTGTGGCGGTGGTGTGGCGCTTAATGGAGATTCTCTAAACACTAACGATAATCCTCATGCGAAGCTTCATGTCTTGGACCATTGAGCCACTCCAGGTCGGAAGCGGTTGAATCACAATGTTTCCCACTCTGATGAGGCGCATGGCATCGTCTTCAAAGGACAGCCTTCTCAAGAAGGCTCCTTTGACGGTGGCAACCAATCCTTACAAGGCCCGAAAAGTGTGGCCTCCGAACTTCAAGCAGCTTACTGTCCAGCAACAACTCCGGTTTGAGAAGAAGTACAAACGTCGCATTATCCTAGCAAGTCGAGCACCGCGATGGGTGAAGTTTGTCAAGACTGCTCAGCTCCTGACGATTGTTGGCAAGATTTTCCTCACGCAATCATTTCTGGACTTATCTGACTCGATTTCCAGCTGCACTGATCTGGATCTGCTTCTACTCCGAGTTCGAATGGTGGGGTCAGAAGTATAAGCCTTCTGAAGAGGTTCGTATTTGTGATAGTAGAAGAACCAAGAACTACTAACGCCATCATTAGATTCGTAAGAAGACACAATATCTATTCGGCGCAGTCGATCCAGAGAAGCGTTACGAACGACGACCAGATGCGCCGCCTTTTCACCCCCCAAAGGACGAGCCAGAATCAAAATAGTATATTCTATATGTATATTATTCAACACTTGGAGTTCGGCGTTAGTCTCGTAGAAACGAAACATATATGGACATCTCAACAGGCAGACACATCTTGTAATCCGCTCTATCATGCATTTCGTACGTCGTTCTGAATAGTCCTAGTCCTCATCGCCCAGTCCAAGCAAAATTGGCACCCATACCAAGTCCACTTCCCAGGCCAGTAGGCCCTCTTCCTTCGTTCACAGGTCTCTTCGCGACGGTTCCTTGCGCCTTGACCCCCGAGACAATGCGATCCAGGTTTGTCTCTATTACCACGCCCCCTATTATCATTTCCGATAAGGTAGAGTGCAGGGTTTCGAAGTTGAAGATTAAGTCCAGCTCACAGACGTTCTCAAAAAGCTTGTCGAGGGCCTCCACGTAGACTTGGATCAGATCAATTAGGGCAAGCGGCGACTCAGTCGATGTAGAGATGACGATGAAATAAAGGGTCGCATAGTTGCGGTACGTTACTAGTGTTGGAACATCGTTCTGCTCTTCCGAGGAGGTGTGGGAGGTGCCTGAAGCGGCGAGCAGAGGTGGAAGGGGTAAGAAGTTACAAGATCCGGCCGGTCGATTCGAGACGAGTGTAAATATTTCGGAGATGAGGCGCTGCTGTATACTAGTTTCCTTTGGGGTGCATCTGAGTTTCTAGTAGCAAAGCTGGAGGGGATAAAGCATACCAGTTGGGTATAGAACTTGGTCAGACGAGGCTGACCTTGGCCGTTGAAGACCAGAAAGGCATTGATCATTATTAGGGACAGGAGCTCCTCATGCCCTCACATAAACCAACGTAGACGACCTCGTGGAGTAGGTAAGGTATGGATTCAAATGGTATTGTAGGTTGTAAGGGTGAATGGTGGGGCATGTGTCTGCAGTAAAGACGCGAAGCTGATGATGGCGGGATGCAGGAGCTAGGTACATTCCCGCACGGTACGTACCTTCATCGAAAGTCATGGTGCAATTGGTCAGTTCCACCTGGCAGCTGTACTTAGCCACACCGCGGGGAGCTTGGTTGCTTCAATTCGTTCATCTTCTGAATAACAGCGATTGACCGAGCTCGTCACCGCGAATGCTATTCTGGTTTTCACTTACGGGCCACTTCTAACCACTCAATACTATACTAAGCCACGACGCAGTACGGAGTAGTCAAGACGCAGTTTCCGAAAGTTGTGTTCTTAACACACAAGATGTCCCGACAAATCGCATTTCAAGCTTCCCGCTTGGCTTCGCGAGCGATCCGCTCTTCAACGCCCGTATGCCGCTCAAGCTTCCGTATCGCTCCTGCAATCTCGCACTTTTCTATTCCATCTACCCTTTCGCAAAAATACTTCTCGACTACGGTTTCCGACAAGCGGGGTATCATGCCTGATACGGAGAATCCTGCCAAGCCTTTGAACGAAGCTGAAGAGATCCACCAGAGCGCTGTTGTCGCCGATATTACTGAGCAAGAGTATCATGACCTTGCGGACGAGTATCTCGATAATGTTGTCGGCAAGTTTGAGGAACTCCAGGACCAGCGAGAAGACATCGACGTTGACTTCTCGGTACGTATATCTTATGCAACTATCGTCAACCCTATCTGATACATTTACCTACAGGCTGGAGTCCTCAGCATCAGTTGGCCTGATAAGGGTACATACATCATCAATAAACAGCCCCCTAATAAGCAGATATGGCTGTCATCTCCCATCTCTGGCCCTAAGCGCTATGACTGGTGCCTCTTTGGAGAGGGTCAGAATGAGAAAGAGGGCACAGCTGTGGGTGACTGGATCTACGTCCGTGATGGATCGAGCCTAAACCAGGTTTTCTCTGAGGAGCTTGGTGTTGACATTGACGTTCCGAGCGAGGAGTAGAGCTTCCTTCCGAATACCGATAAAAGACACAGCAAGCATGATTAAAGGAGAAGTCTATCACAGACAAAGTAAAAGCATTCATGAAGGCGTTGAGGGCTTCGGTTAGCCTAGTGAGGATTGCGATTTATGTTAATGTATTGTACATGTACTATTTAAGGTCTCGCCGTTCGGGGAAATGGAAATTCCCAAGTCAGAACGTATCCAAATAATTTGTCATTTGTTTCGCCCAAGATCTGCCATCGACCATACAATTCCTTTTGTCTTGTGTATCCAGTACCATTAATGTACAGGTTCTTTTCATCGTCTCAACAAAGAGCCGCTAGGGGAGCTTCTATTGTCCCCTCAAGCCTTTGATAGCAAAATACACGTCCGTGGCTCTGTTCCTTCTTTGTCTGCGGACTTGATATCTGTATGTCTGTCTGTATGCGTACCGGATTGCTCTTCTTTGCATAAAACTTGAGGGAGCCTCAAGTAGTGTCAACGGAGACAGATGCCCATAGTTTTATTAAGCATAGCGACCGTCATATCATAATGATTATACGCAGTCAGATTTGCATCCTTCATCTCCTGTCTAATCGCGACATAAGCACTGCTCACTCATTGAGATTGATTCATACTTACGCTACATGTTTCAAAGGATCATTGGCCGAGTAATCCCGTTTCTGGTACCTCATTTGCCGGACTCGCAATAAGTTCTTCAAGATCTTATGCTCCAATCCTTTCTCTTTCGCTGCCGCCTGAAGAAACCATATGGTTCGCTTTATGCCCCGTCCATCATATGTGGCACCTGGCTCGCGAAAGGCCCGCCGGAGTTGATCGCGGGCTACGAAGCGAGCAGGAATTGTGTATTGCACTGCCTTGAGAATATTTCGATATAGATGTCGGTAAGCATGCCTTATCTCGGTCGGGGTAGCCATGCTTGCAGAATTTGGATAGACAGATTGCATGTCATTGGTGTCCCAGTCACGATGTGTGAGAAGTTGTAATGGGCCCACTTTAACTATCACGGAACAAATCGAGTTCATGTGTAAACTGCGAGAGAGCGAAATCTTACCCCATAGTAGCAATAAGACGTTCTTTAGCATGTTTACTTCTTTATCTGTATCAAGCCGCTCTTCTCATTATATATGATATACAGGCCATTATCAGCCGTCTAACTCCATGAAAACTCGGTCTAAAGATATCGATCCATAGATCTTTAAAGAAATGCCGCGATCCCCATCCAAAAAAACACACACATCACCTTCGTTCCGTAAGTCTCCTTTAGACTCTGGCACCTTTAATTGATTCTTTCCCATCAAGTGACTCCAGTATCCTTCAAGGCGATAGTTGCGCTATCCTATCCTGGTGGTTACGCATCCTGCGCCTTGTGCGCCATCTATATGCAGGTATTCTTATAGACAAACTCCAAAAGACTTCATCAATAGTCATCACGTCGGTTTTCTCGGCCCTCTTCTTGTTGACCAAGAGGAGCATACCGACCTTGCGCGCTGCTGCCACTATCGGACCTGTTTCGTCCGACCACTCTTGATAGCCAACCACCAATACTTCGTTCATCACCGCCGGTCTGTATCTGAGACTTGCTGTCATCATCGATCGCAGGGGGGTCGAGGGAGAGTCCAGGAATGGCAGATGAGGGTCCAATGAGCCCTCGAGAGGACCCTACAGGAGATCCGGCCCTCATCAAAGAACCAGTTTCGGTGCCGTGTAATGAAGGAGTGCCAGCAACGGTACTGGCGTCTCCGAACAGCGAGTCCATATCTTCCAGGCGCACACCACAGGTCTCCGGGTAGATAAAGTATACTTATAACATATCAGTAACGTGGTGTCAGCTCAGGTATGACAAAAGAACTTACCAATGATCACACTGGCCACACAAAAGAATGCATGAACCAGATACATGCGCCACTTAATCCATTCCTGGAGAATAGGCGTCATTTCACCCACAAGCCAGTTGGCCGCCCAGTTGGTTGCTGTAGACAAACTGGCACCCTTTGATCGGATGCTGAGAGGGAGAATCTCGGGAGGGTAGAGCCAAGGGATAGGTCCCCATGAGTAGCCAAAAGCGGCATTGTAGATCATGACGAACAGGACAACCAGTCGAGGAGTCCACTTAATGTCGAGGAAGAGGAAGTAAGAGATGAGCGATAGTGAAATTGCCATAGCTGTGGCACCAGAGAGAAGGATCTTGCGTCGACCCCAACGATCCACCAAATACCATGGTGGGATTGTTGACATAAGATATGTGAGACTGTTGAAACCAGTCATGAGGACAGCGTCATGACCAACCCAACCAGCAGACTCAAAGACGTACGGTGCGTAGTAGGAGATGACGTTGATGCCATTGAGCTGGGCGAGCGCTTGGGCGGACATTGCAATAAAAACTCGGGTTTTGTATCGACGAAACATGTCCTTATATGTTCGCTCGCCTTCTTGGCGTTGAAGAAGGACGTTCATCTTGATCTCGCGATACTCATCTCGAGCCTTGGGATCATGGATGTCACCACCCCCGTACAAATTAGCAATGACCACCATCCCTTCTTCATCATGATCGTTGTCCAGAAGCCACCTATGAAATTAGCAAGCCATTTCGACACACACCAAATAGGACTGACTTACCGAGGTGATTCAACAATGACCAGACTGCCGAGTCCAAGCAGAGCACCCATGAAGCATTGCAGTCCGAGAGGAATGCGCCAAGAATAGTCACTCTCAATATAGCCGCAGCCATAATCAACCCAGACAGATGTCGAGTAACCGACGATGTTTCCTGTGAACTCGATACATGCCAGTTTTCCTCGGTTGTGAGGGGGCGAGATTTCAGATTGATAAACAGGCACAATGGTCGAGAGCATGCCAACTCCGAAACCGGCAACGAAACGTCCAGCCATCATCATGGGCATGGAAGTAGCCAGAGTCTGGAGAGCACCTCCGACGAAGAAGATGCAAGACCCGTAGAAGATGGTGCGTCTTCGACCGATGATGTCGCCAATGCGACCGACCATCAGGGAAGTGATGAAGGCGCCAATCTCCAAGATAGCAACCATAGTACCAACGTATGCCTTGGAAGGGTGATCAAAATAATCCATGAAGTATGGTCCACTGGTAATCAATTAGTCAAAACCAA